GGCTCCGGCCGGTGGCTTTTTTGCCTAGGGCGGCAAAAAAGCCAGAGCCGGCCCTGTCTGTTGGTGAGAGAGACCAGCTTTCAAGCTACACGGAGTTCTTCTTCAGCACTGTGTAAGCACGAAAGCTGGTCTCTCTCACCAACAGAAGTTGGGCCAATAAAAGATATTACCTCACCCACCGTGTCACTCTGATATCCTGGGACTGACACGACTACAACACCACTTCATATTATTATATTTCTATATTTGTATTTTGGTAGCACGTAGGAGCCCAACTCACCGATCACAACCCAATTGTGGTAGGCACCAGACACAAACACAGAACAAAAAGATGGTCCTTACACTAAAGAGTTTTCACTCTACATATAAAAAGAGACAACAGCTGGAGACAGACAGAGGAGTACAAAGAAACAACGTAATTACCACCACTTCTGATAAAATGCCAAGCCTCATCTTGTAAAAGCTTCCAGTATTTAATAGAGACAATAGCTGTCTTGTTAAATCTATGGAATGATATAGTAAGATACAGCATAATTTAAGTAACTGTAGATTATTAGAAACATTCATTGTGGACGTAAGTAAATCTTATTAAATCTAAATTACATGGAAGTTTGAAATGGTCCCTAAACATTACATTTATCCAACATCAGAAGAGTTAAAGTTTGTTTTATTGTGTTGCAACTAATGATTAATAAATGAGCCTATTCCGTTAATCTGCCAGGCAAAACTTAGCTTGACAGACACCTGCCACAGAAAATTTGTTATCTATTCAGGGAGGAAATGGCAGTGAGATGAAATCAATGCTGATGCTGTACATTGAGCTGACAAACTGAAATCTCAGAGGAAGTTTGTCATCTTGAACAAAGAGGACTATCCCTTGTGGCATCTCAAAGGCCCAAAAGAAAGGTCAAACCTGGTTCTTATTTATCAGGGCCCTGAAACTCTAGCATAGCACTTAAATTTCTTTTTCGATTTTGGGTGACAAAGTCCAGTTATTTGACAGAAATGCCTCGTAATATATTTATGAGAAGATATAGAGCCACATGCTGCTGCATCATTGTCAAATGGGAGTTAACTGCATCATTTCCTTGCACTGCAGAATCAAAAGTGACATAACCTTCTATCATCTACACCAGAAAAGAGATAGAATAGCCATCATATTTGCTCCAATTTGTTAAAAAAAAGAGACAAAAAGGAAATGCCGTTTATACCAAACAAAACAGGTCTCCTAACACATACACAATCTCAAATTTCTTCCTATTGTACTTTGAGTAGTAAAAAAAAATAAAAAAAATCTGTTAACATGAAGACAAGGGATGCTCTCAAAATAAGGTTTGTTTTATCTCTAATTACTAATTAGATGCATTTCAAGCAAATGGAAAGAAGTTTAAAATTTCTATTTGATTTTCACCATTTGAGTTGCCTGTTTCCTTTCTGCATCCTTCTCAGTTCGGACAAGTCAGATCAGGTTTGACTGTTGATCAGGGCCGGCTCCAGGCACCAGCGAAGGAAGCAGGTGCTTGGGGCAGCCAGTGGAAAGGGTCGGCATGTCCGGGTCTTCGGCGGCAAATCTCTCAGTCTCTCTTTTCCTCTTTGAGCTGCCGCCGAAGTGCCGCCGAAGAGGAAGAGAAGGACCCGCTGCCGAATTGCCGCAGAAGAATGAAGCGGCACGATTGAGCTGCAGCTGAAGTGCCGCCGATCGGCTTTATCTTTTCCCCCCCCACTTCGCCGCTTGGGGCGGCAAAAAAGCTGGAGCCGGCCCGGCTGTTGATCCTCATTTTCACTTCCTCATGCACCTCACAAGATGGATTTCCAAAATGGCAGGAGGTGGTTCAGGGCTCAGACTCTGCATGGTGCAAGTCAACAGGGTTTGCACAGGCCCACGGATCCTGTGAGAAGGAGCTTGCAGACCGGAGCCTAAATCCTCACCCTGCCCTCACAAATCCTGTTTTAATCGCATTTTAAACTTTCCCAGAGATATACTAACATTACATGTTCTGAAACTTTTCAAAACAAGCCCTACATTCTGGCCCAATCTACTGGGCAACATGCCTTTAAAAAGACCAGATCGCACCAGAGTAGATTAACATATAAAAAGAGAACTTTCTTTAACCATGTAATTCATACAGTGATAAATTCATTGTACTTGTCACAAGCTTTTTACAGTGAAATTGAAGTGAGAAACCCCCTCACTTTGGAGACACTTCTTCCCTTGAAGAACTGTGGTTTGATTGCGTTTGTTGTTATTTTCCTTAAAAAAATCTTCAGATACAGAACAGAATCACACCCAGCCAGGCAATGATATCTGTGCCTGAAATAACCTAAAACAACAAGGAAAATGTGGTCCACACATGTGGAGAACTTTCTGCCAGCAAATATGAAACTCTGGCTAGCTCCACCAAATCTCTCATTTGATGTTCACATAAAATAGACAGACAGTATCCGTTCTCATGTCTGGCTTGATGTTCTATAACTGTACTGTTTATTCAATAGAATTAAATCCTACACCCCAAAAAAATAAAGGCAGCTCCTATACATATGTCAAATTATTATTCTAATTTGTAATAGATGAACACAATAGCCAGTTACTCGGGGCCTGTATTTTTTAATGTCCAATATCCAATTTATTGCAGATTTTTATTGTTTTCAAAGATCTGCTTAATTCTCCTGAATTAGGTGGATTAAAAAGAAAAGGGATTTTAAAAAACCAACACTGAAAACAGCTGCAGCCCAGAGTAACAGCAATAGAAAAATAAACTCTCGCTTTTAAAAATCACACTGCAAGTATGTTTCACCTAAGAGTTGAGAAGCTTTCAGCAAGTGAGATAAATTTAAGGAGGAAGTTAAACACACTGCCAGACGGATGCATCAATATTGAAAACTGAGGTAGTACTGATACCCTTCATCGCAATCAAATAGTGTTTTGATTGAAGCAATTTAAAATTTATCAGGCTACAGTTACAAAATGTGCCCATTCGATGCTGATAAATCTGTGATGTTAAATCACAAGCTGACAGCACCCAGAGGGAAACTCAGCAGCCAGACAGAGGGGTAGCATGTTGAAGGAGCAGCAAAGAAAAAATAAATAAATAAATAAAGCCAGGCCCTTCAAAATTGGAATCCCCTTCAAAATGCTAGAATGCTTCTACATAAAGAGGAAACAGATGTTCATGGCTGGAATTTGCATGTGGCTTTATTCTCTACCAGGATACAATAAAACTACTCTTCTGCTCGTCCTCTGAGTCAGAAATTAAATGGTGGCCTGGCATGTCTAGTCCAGCTGTGCCTTCCTTTCCCAACTTTTATTAGCAATATATTAAAAACCTAAAAAGCATAAGAAATGAAAAATCATGTGGCATGTGTCCTCAAACCAATATAAAAACGACAGATGTTCTTACTAATCTGCAGCGCATGCTTGTTTATTCAGGTTCTCTGTGTGTCTGATTCAGCGGGGCTTTGCTCTCGGAATTATCTGTTTTTACAAATGCTAGAGTAAATACTAAGAGAACAGCCGTCGGAGACAATAAAATCACCTAAAAGGGGAGTTAAGGTCTTTGTTTTCTTGCACGGGTCTCTTTCACTCTTTTGGGCCCCCATTCAGCAAAGCCACGTGGTTAATGTGAAGCACCTGAGTAGCTCCACAGAATTCAACGGTTTAGGAAGCAAGGTGGGCCTCTGCTCCTTGGGAAGTGAGTGTGCAGAAGCAGCATAGCTACTGCGTCCATGGGGCTGTATTGATGGCTACAGAGCAAGCCTATTGCTGCTGTGAGGCCTGGTTTCTTCTTTGTCCCCACCCAGACTTGAAGAGCCTAGATTCTGTGTAACCCAGAGACTGAACCAAGGAGCTCCACAGCTGAATGCATGAGTTTCTGCAGCTCGAGCGCCAGGTTTTCATGCTGAGAGCTTCAACAGACTCACAATCTCAGTGAACAAGGCACAGAGCAGGACACAATCTCACTGGTGGGTTAAATACTTCCCTCGGACAGAGGTAGTTCATCCCGAGCATCTGAGGCCCACA